CAATTGAGATATGAAATCTCAACAAGAAGACAATTCAAGATGGCAAATGGCCCGCAAATCAGTCAAAAGTGTAAATCAAAACCCATATTTACACGGCAAGTACGCGCAATTTCTGATCGGTTTCGACACCATAGGTTGAAGCCATGAAGATAAACTTTATTTTAATTTTCTGGTTTAACAACCTCACCAGTACTGCGTCGTAACAAACTAACAACATCACTAGTATTGCCTCGAAATGCAAATGTGAAATGTCGGCAGAAAAATACGGGCGCTTCCGATTGCTCCCGATGCTTTACGAAAATCCGGACTGGACACCATGATCATCATCGCTCATCGCGTTTGTGTACTATGTGATAATGGCTAGCCCGCAAACGGGCTAGCCACAAAAATTCGAGCAAAACAACTATGACTAAAAAAATGTCGAGCAAGCATTCAGCTCTCACCCTTACACATGTACCTCATCCAATAATTGTTTTATTATACATTTGTTTCTGTTAAGTATATACCGCTTGCTAATAATCGCAGGCTCATTTGCAGATAACTCATGAATTTTCTGTAGGTTGCGTGATTGCACGATTTAACTGTAAGCTCTTAGCCAATCAAATTGCTTTTACCAACTACAATGTCAGAACGTAGGAAATGCTGTTTCAGAGACCCAAATTTTCAAATATTTTCCCCCGGACCCCCCTGGGAGATGTATCTATCTAGCAAAGCGGACATCCAAAACACTGGATCTGCACTTTGACACCATCACCGATTAGTATTGCCAATTTGTGCATAACCCATTGTCAAGGGTTGTGGATTGAAATAGCTGAAATCACGATTTCAGTATATTTTCAAAAATCATTAATAATTCATGAGGAAAACACAAAAGAAAAATCATAAACGTGTCGTATCTTTATATGTGATAGAAATGTCCCTTGATTTACATAAACTTTAACTTGATTTTCTCGACTTACACAACGTATTTTTTGAAAAATACTTCGTCAATGAACTTACTATATCGATCGTTTTTGAAGCAATTTAAAACATTCGCTGTTAGGGACGTAGCGAACTGTGAAACTCAGGCAAAAATCATGTAAAATTCAACTTGAAATTTTGACATTTCAGGTAAAATTTGCGTAATAAAGTAATTATTTTTGTGAAATGATAACCATTTTTGTGAAATACAGTAAATTTACATCCAATTCGTTTGCGAATTTGCTTTAGAAAACGCCGGAAATGCAGTCTTAGAGCTTCAAATATGTTAAAATTTTCTCGGGGGAGGACCCCAGAGCCCCCTTTTCTTACGAAACTTACTATGACAGTGCAAATCAATAACAAAAAGCTTTATTATAATTATTACACTTCGGGTAAATTTTTAACGTTGAAGTTAAAATCCTCCAACA